ACTGAAAAGGTACCGGTAGTCAGCGTGGGTGGGAAGGACTTTGAAGGCGCTGGTGATTTCTGCCTTAGGTGACTAGTCTCCTTGGCCTGGGAGGCAGATAAGGGATGTAGCATGATTGATTGTACTGCATGGAGTAGTCCGGCGTGGGAATTAGGCTATTGATGCTTGGGACACTGGAGCCCTGGGGTGATGAGGTCTGTGATGAGTCTCTTTTCCCCTAAATATTTCCTAGCAGGTTACGTCAATTGGACTGATTAAGAATAGGGAAAATGTGGGCTAATGAGTGGACTGATCATGAATGCGTCTTGGACTTCCTGGGCCAGTAGTTTATCGACTGTGTTAGGCTCTGAGATGGCTGATTGCAAATTACACTGACTACAATTACATTTCAATCAGGAGACAAGTGAATGAGTGTGTAGGAGGATTCTGACTTAACCTGCAAACCTAGGTGGAAGCCATATGTGAAACCTGTATGAGGAAGCTAATTAACTGGCCATCTGCGTAGTTCTTTAAGGCGGAAGCTAGAGCGTTAACTCTAATTGCGGTATTGAGATAATTGCACGGGTTGCGCTTGGTTGGAATGTGGGCACAGGTTGGTCTGCCTCCTTCGCAGAAGGAGAAGGTATAGAGGAATCGGCAGCTAGAACTGTTGCATTCTAGGTCGTCTGTGTTATTGCAAACCATCCTACCTCCCTGGTAGAGGACCGATCTATCTCCCACCTATGCCTTTGGGGAGAGCGCCGAAGGTGGTTGGCTGGGTGGTGGCTGGTTTGGGGGTGACTGCTGCAGAAACCCGATGATACAACTTGGGGTCTAGTGTTCCCCAGTATGTTCCCTGATTAGACTTCTGCAAGCAACCAGCAGCTTCAAAGCAGAAACAGGAGGATACATTGCATTTTGGCCAATGACTCCATCGTGAATCGCTGTTGTTGGAGCGGTGTGTGCAGCTGAGATAGCCGGTGTCGAGGTGGGAGGGGCAGAGTTGGCCGAGGTGGGTGGGGCATGAAAAGCAGAAGCAAGAGAACAGGAAAAGATGCTGGGATGGAGGGATGGATGTGCATGGGTTGATAGTGAAGTCTGAGGAAAAGAAATTGCAAGGTGAGCTGTCTCTGGGACAGAGGGAGCTTGAAGAGGGTGGGATACGACCTGGCCCTCTGAAAGGACTGATGTAGATGACTGGACACACATATAGCTTTGAGCTAATGTGGCTACGTGCTAAACGGCTACCGCACGTATAGACGCCCGGTCTTCTGTTGGCTATCCGCCATTTTGAGTCTCGCGCATGAGAGACGTCACCACGTCCCAACTACGTCATACGTCGCTGAGCTGTTCCCTCGCTCCTCCCCCTACGTGCGCACACACACACACATTAGATAGTGTGCTCATAAATGTATAGTTGTTGTTAGTTTAGATATTAGTTGACTAGATCATTAGTATTAGAACGTAATAAACTCTGTTATATTTTAAAGAGCAGCTGTCTGTGATTACTTTGTGCATGTGTATTGTGATAATAGCTGTATATGTGGTCTGTGCTCGAACTTAAACCTTCACTTTCACTCTGAATGTGTAATAGTACTCAGACTATTGACATTGTGAGTGAACACTAATTATGAGACTCAGTTTATCATTTGGTTATTGGTCCCTGTTCGCAGGGTGGTGCCCCGTTATTATTAATAATCATTACTAATTGTTACTAACATTAATAATTCTATTGATGTCAAGAATTTAGTTTCTTAGATGCTGATAACCCAAACACGCTCCTTTACATTCCCAACATATTGCTGATAACCCGTGTGAGGCTATGTTATTCCCAACAGCATTGACACATACAACTTTGTCTTTGTTGGGATGTACACAGCATTTCAGGGGGAAAATTACATGTTTTCTGTTTATATTACAGTATATTTTCAATCCAATTCAATGCATCCTGTCCATGTCGATCTGTCCTTGTGCAAGACACTTGCCTTCAGTGTATGTGAGGTTTGTGAAAGACAGTTCTGATGGGCAGGTGGCACCTTGCATGGTAGCCCCTGTCATCAGTGAATGAATGGGTTAATGATGATGTAGTGTTAAAGCGCTTTGAGTGGTCTGAAGACTAGAAAAGAGATATACAAGTACAGTCCATTTACCATTCCCTGATACAAGTATTTACCATTCACATCAGTGTTCACTTGTTCTTAGAAATGTCTGTTTATATGATGGAATGTGTGTCTCAGTTTTCAGAGTTTTATATTCCAGGAGTTTGGCCTTTTGTTATGGATTTGTGTATAGAATGAGGAATTATTTCAGAAAATCTGTAAACAATGGAGGAAAAACTGTAAGAGGAAGAGTAGCCATAGTACAGCTACCAGAGCCATACGCTTAGAGTAGCACCATAAATACAACCGCAACTGCTGCCATAGCCTGAGCACTACTGGAGCCATAACCACAGCCACAGCTTCAACCATCACAGCCAGAGAGCAGCTGCAGCTGAGCTGACAGCCGAGCACAGTGCCAGAGCTCGGCCTTGTGAAAGGAGTACTGAGCAATACCTGCATCATATAAAGTGTTGCAGTGTCTTTTCTGTAGTAACTGCAAAGTGCAGTATAACTGGAAGGGACCAACAAACTAACTGTTCCTGTGGATCAGGGAGATATTAAGTGCTCTGCTCTTACCTGCACAAAAACAACAAAAAATTCCAATTGACTAATGGATAGTCTGCATTTGAGGACAATATGCTCAGGTGTGAAGCTCCTCACACTGTCATCAGAAAAATATATATCTATACTCTAGACAAAATGTAGTCAAGTTAATGAGCTCTCCTTAGATTACCTTTAATAAAAGAAATTGTGAAAAAATGAACAGCAGTGTACAGTTTATTTGGTCTTTTTATGAAGGATTCATTCACAAAGATGATGATGGTCCTGCTGTCAAGGTTCCCTAGACTTTGGAATGACCTTAATGTAAAGAAGGGCAGCAAGAATGATTTGACATATGTGCTTCTAAATGACTCTTTGAATTATTATTCAGACATTTTGGCTTGTCTTGCTTTTTCTAATTTTCTGTTCCTCATTTATTTATAATTTTTTATTGTGACTGTTCTATTATCTTACATTTTGCAAAGAAATTGATAGCCTTATTTTGAAAAGTTTGACACAGATTGAATATATTATTATTATTATTAGTAGTAGTAGTAGTTGTATTTAATATCTGTATTCTTTTTTTTCTCCTTTTGCTCTGTTTTGCAGCATTGCTTGGTTTCACAGTAAAAAGGTAAAAAACTGCTGTCATGATAAACATCATAGACGGAAACCCGTGAAACTGACTAAAGTTACAATGTGCATCTAGTTCACTAAATATTTGAAAGTTTCACTTTAAATATCAGCAGATGTTCTCACCTTGTAACAAAGACGTGGCAGACCAGGCTTGACTTTGGCCCGGTGTTCATGATGACAGGGAAGGACTGAGTGAAGAAAGAGAAAAAACCCAGTTCCGTTCCACATTTAAATGATGCGCCAGGTGAGGAGAAAGGTTGAATTTAATTGGACTTGAGATGTTTCATGTTGGCAGATTCATAATCCTGTATTGTCTTGTTTTCTATGTGGATAATTCAAAATCTAGAAACATGTCTGTGCAGACTACAGTGTTTGTGTTCCAGACTCTGGTGCAGAATACATTTGCAAGGGTGAGACATCTTAGGTTAGGTGTCAGACTTAGATGTTCTACTTATGCTTGAATAAAAACAGAGCTTTACCCAATCTGTTCCAGATATCAAACATATGGTGTTAAGCGATTGGCACTTTACTCTGCTGTATTCGTATTGGAAGCTTGGCACAGATTCCATCTCCGCAGTCTGTTACATTTGAACACATAGTCTATCTAGTGATGGCTTCCCTCCTCCAGGCTTTGACAAATGCAGCAAACTCTGGTTTCCATATGATTAGTGGCAGCGCTGAAATGTATGTGTGGAGCTGATCCTCTTCTTCCTCTCAGGTGGGTTTAACATACTTCTGCTGTCATTGAAATATAGCGATGACATTCTTTGTTCTGTGTTATGACTGCACTGTCTGCTGTTTGTAGACAAGTGTTTATAAGACATTCATACAACTAATTTGTATTTTGTTTGTAAGAAGCACACAGCAATACTGACAGGATTATAGTGTTATTTTCAACACAGTTGGCAGAAAAAAATGTTGGTATTGTACCTTTTTACAAACCGCGAGATACGATAATATGTTTTATAGATAGGTTTCGTATCAGCGTATCATGCTTGCAGAAACGTACAATGACACATGATTAACGTTGTGAGAAGATAGGTTTAGGCAACAAAACTACTTGGTTAAGGTTAGAAAAAAAATCATGGTTTGTGTTCAAATAATTCGAAAAAAAAACATGGTTTGTGTTCAAATAATAATGTAAAAATGTAAATAAATAACTGGCCAGAAAAACATTACAAATATACATATACACAAAAAAATAGTACAACAATTTGTCAAATATTAACAAAAATTGTATACTATGGAAACACAAGAAAACCTCATCTATCTATAGAAGTATGTCACTTTTCTAGAAGTAACTGGTATTTGCAATATTGGCTTTCAAATGAGAAATTTGGATGTGGTTTCTTCGTTTGGCTCAAAATGAATATGTGCTATTATTAGCTCAATGTAGAGAATAAACATTTTCACTGTCGCAAATCCCGGTGAAATATGGTCTAAATGTGATCGTTTAATCAACATCTTCAAATAGTCAGTGAAAAAAACTTCACTTTTGAACCAATTTAGAACATCTTTTCACCCGAGACCATAGTCAATAATCGTCTTTTCAATGGAAAAATGCTCACTGAGAATTCTTTACAACTTTTTTTTACATACAGTTATATAGACAGACACAATCATTTGACAACTCTGCCTAGAATAAGAAATAAGAACAAAATAAATGCAATACTACAATGAAACTAAAGTCCAAAATACAATCAAGTAATCTGAAATAAAAAATGACTAAAATAAATTGACATAAAAAAACGTAACAACAAAATAAAAGCCAAACAGGATATCCGGTTGTACCGGAAGACCGGCTTGTATCCATTCTAGAGAAATGGCCGTTCTCATTCTTACAATACATTAGCAACAAATCTTGACGTATAGCAAATAATGTGTTTCGAGGGCGGAATTGTTCTGTCGTGAATCGTCGCTGCACTATTTTGTGCTGTAGAATAATATGAATTGGAATGTTGCGTTTGTATTGCTCTCTAATCTTCATGAAGTCTAAGTTTTGTTGTTAGCTAGCTAACTACCTGCCCGCTAGTGCGTTAGCTGCCCAGCCGAGAGACCGAGCCATCGGTCATCCAACGCTGTCCGATAAAGTCTGTTAATGTGGAAAGAATAGGACCTCATACCTGAAGAAAACTGTTCTTTTGATTCAATAAACGGGAATCATTGGGGTAACCCCGCGCCTGTCACATGCCCGAACAAGGCCCCAGGATGAATGGCTTTTCTCTTGGTGAGCTGTGCTGGCTGTTCTGTTGTCCGCCCTGCCCCAGCCGCATCGCGGCCAAGCTAGCTTTCCTACCGCCGGAGCCCACTTACTCGATGCACACAGATGCTAATGGGGTAGCTAGCTTACATTTAACCGAACGGGCAGACTGGCAGTACTCTCAACGAGAGCTCGATGCAGTGGAAGTGTTCAGCACCAGAAGCAGCCGGGGTAACCGGGTCGGGTGTATGTTTGTGCGCTGCGCCCCGAACAGTCGGTACACGCTGCTGTTCTCCCACGGTAACGCTGTGGACCTGGGGCAGATGTGCAGTTTTTACATCGGCCTCGGCTCCAGGATCAACTGCAACGTATTCTCCTACGATTACTCGGGCTACGGAGTCAGCACTGGCAAGCCTTCTGAAAAGAACCTGTATGCGGACATCGAGGCGGCCTGGCAGGTCCTGAGGAACAAGTGAGTATGAGCCATGAGAGTATTTGGGATCAGTTTGATGTTCATGTAGTCAGCTAGTCCAATACATGATCATATTGAGGAAGGTAAAGGCTAAAGGTTTTTCATTCTAACCAATTCTGTGGCAGAGCCTAACAACTCAATGTACAACCACTGTGCAAGCTGTGACATACATGAATGGTAATGTGAAAAAATAGTTTGAAGTCATAAACTATTCAGAATCCATGGAACAAACCTTTCATGTATTCCTGTTGTAGTGCAGTACTGTCAAAACCCAATTTTAGTAACCAAAAAACGGACTGGACCATAACACTAGGAGTAGAACCAACAATTGCTGCATCACAATTTGAGGTCTGCATCTGTTTAAGTCCAACTTTCAAGACAGAATACATCCTTTGAGTAAACACTGTAAACCACATCATCCACTGAGTTGTCTGGGTGGAAATGTTTCGTTTCATGATTCAATTCACAATCAATACTTCAGAATAGAAAAGGGGGCACCAGTAAGCTTACTTGATGAAAGTCACTGTTTGACCAAACAGAAAATCACAATGTCAAGTGTGTGAGTATGCAGCTTTTTACATTTAAAACAGTTGATGGGGTATAGCATGTTAGTCTTGTCTCTGTGTGAGAATATTCAAATGAAAGTGTAATTTACTGACCAACATCACTTGTTGGTGTGTTCTGGAGAAACAAAAGGTGAAGCTCCTCTGAGAGCAGGCTGTCTGCTGCTGCTACACTAGTACTGACTCTCTACATTTATAGTGGAGTCTCCTCTACAGGTGCAGTGTGTTTGACAGCTTTAGGTCAAGTTAACGGCTGCTCCACAAACAGTAGAAAATGGAGCATTTCTGCTTGTTGGTCACATGTTGTGATAAACTGCTGTTTCCTCCCTCACTTCTGAGGGTTTTATTGTGTTTGTGACAACGAGAGTTCTCAGCATCTACTGGAGTCAACTGTAGCCACACTGGATCTTTTTATTCTCTCTGCCATGATGTGAGTCTCAGGCTGTCCTGAGCCGGAGTCGATGTGTGTGTCGGAGTAAAGCACGACTCCGCTCCTCGTGCAACGACGGGAACAGAGAGAGGTTTGCAACGCCGCTTTTCTCCACAGAGATCTCACTTCATAACTTCTAAAGTACTGATCGCAGAACTGTGAACTCCGGACCTTATCGATACTCAGGGTATTTACTACTGTCTTATCGGTTCTGTTTAGAACCGGGTATTGGGGGGAATCCCTAGTTGCTGTGTGTGTGAGAGTGCTTTTGTTAGTGCAGGAATTTGTCACGCTGCATCGCATCCGTTGGTCCTCTGAGGGATCAGGTACAAGATACACACAAGTACTTTACCTTTGTCTGCTAAGCTTACTGTTTTTATTAGGTAATTCAATCCAAACGGTGCCCAAATGCATGCCTGATTCTGGACATCAATAACAAGTGTACTCTTGTGTGTGTGTGTGTGTGTGTGTGCGCGCGCGCTCTACTCTGTCCAGGTGCTGCACATGTGCTCTCGCAGTTGAGAATATTTGATATACTTAAAATGATTTATTTTTCTCTTTTAATCCATACTTATTTCTATCCTTGTGCGGCTGTAACGTCTTGGGATCAATAATGACTTATCTTATCTTCTCTCTTTTGTTTAGTCAACACAATGTCATAAACAACGTTCACATGAATATTGACATTTGTGATTCAGTTCAGAATCGGAGGGTCATGTTTTTCCACCACCCACTTTTGGGTGTCTGTTCTGGAGCTTTTGTGGCAGTCACGTGATCTTCCCCATCAGAGGTAGTTTAGATCTTCAAACTTACGTTATTCGCTGCACTTTCAAGGATTTCTCGTCTAAATTGGCTGAAATGAGAAGTTATTCTTGACATTGGTGAAGGCTTGTCTAAATGCAAACACCTAATAAACTCTCAGTTGAAATGACTTGTACAGTGGTTCCTTAATGCATGAGCCTACTTTACCAGAACACGGCTCACTTCTCCACCCAGCTGCTGTCTATTAGGTGGCCGTAACAACGGAACGTCTTCATCGACTTCTGGCCACAGGAACTCTCCAGGAACCCTTTTTTAAGGAACTTGTGAACTCAACCTGTACTCTTTGACCACATGAACTGTGGTAGGGATACAGATTTAGATCATTTTTCATCCTGGCTCACTCTAGTGTTATTTCAAAGACACTAGACTCTTATTTAGAGTGTGAGACCATAAACACCTCCAGTTGTATGCCAGTGTCTGCCTGTCCAGTCAACATTTGTGTTACACTCACTTAACTATTAACAGTATCTTTTTTGTTTTGTACTATTTTAGAGTGGAAAAGAGCACCATGCAGAAGGACACCAAGACATTTGAGCTGTCAGAACTTTGACCAAGGTCTCAGAACTTCCATTATCCTGTAAGGGCTATGGCTTGTTCACAATCAGTGTTAGGAAAGGCCAAGTGATGCAAATGTCAAAGCTTTATACTCTGACTCCTGAAACCTTGTTCCAACAATCAGCAGCCACGGGCTAAGCAGCTGCTTGGAGCGCTCTGAAAACTACATATTTTGGAAGGAGCACACAGCGGATTTTTCAAGTTTTATTTGAGTTGAGTTTAAAAGTGTCGCTATATCTGCTGCTACATCCATCTCCCATTTCGCTCCGGTACCGCTCGCACCATGAGTTCAAAGCATGCCAGAGAGAGTCGGGCCCAGAATGTATCGAAAGTGTTGAGTCATAATTCTCACGGAACCTATGTTACCCGAAGGCAACGTCTTCTTTGTTATGCTGTCACTCATGGGGTCCAGATCAAGGCCATGAGTCTGAAAGTCAAAAAATACAATCTAACCGTGACGAAAAGATCTGAATATGAAAATATACAATCTGCAACTGAAAAATGTAAGCCACAACAGACCAAGGCAAATGCTCAAAATACAGTCAATCTGCAATTGTTTTGGAATTTAAATAAGCCAATAATTAGCAAATAATTCTTGTCCATGTCTGCTCATCTCAGACCGGTATGGGCTGGGCACATTGCCTGCTGGGTTGTATAACTTTTAATACGTTTATTGAAAGCTTCTCTATACAGATTTGATGGAGAGCCTACGGTATTATTGTCCTATTGCTTCACCGTGCTATCATATTATGTGGATCATAGGCCGATCATTACTTCATATACAATAAAGTCGACCCGTAGATTTCTTATTGTGAACATGCCTCAGATTAATGTCCCATCTGACAGATGGTCTAAAGGCTACTGAAAGGAAACCAAAAGAGTCTCTTCCTGCCGAGCATTAAATTCACACTTCATTGTTCCTGACCCTCTGGAGAGCAACCTCCCAAGCAAGAATCGGTGTTCATCATTAGGCTGTCCTTAGCTTTATGTTGATTCAATAACTTTCTCATTATATTTTGTGTGAAATCATTAAGACTGTGCCCTTAAACAGCAATTTCATTTCATAGTGGCAGTCCTTTTACTTAGCCTTTAGGGCTCTGCTCAATTGATGCTGCTAGAAAACTTTGAAGATAAAGATTTGTTTGCACAACGATTAGTTGGCTTGACATTTTGATAATTGCTTAATGAGTTTATTGTACTTGTTGCTCTTGTTTGAAATTACATCTCCCCAATCAGGTTTTAAAGAATCACTTCCTGTTGTACCCCGAACCCCTAACAGATGAAACTGTCACAGCTTAAGAAAATCAATGGGTTGGAATGAAATGTGGGTGTTTGGGTTGCAATGGCAAATTAAGGGAGCTTGTCTTAAAAGAAGAAAGTGGAGTAATCTGTTACCCGGTATCCGGCTCCTGTTGTGCATGTGACGGGGGTGTTCCTGGCTTTCATAGCTTCATCTTATTGAAATGTTTGATGTTACCTGTGTTTGAAATGTACTTGTTTTAAACTTCCATCTTTTCATCCCAAAAAAAGTTCCACGCAGCTGATTATGCGAACCTTTACAAACAATGATTTTGTCTGAACTGGGCTTAGATGGGCTTTTGTTTTTACCGAGTTTCTTCATTTGTGTTCCTGCAAAGCTGTTTCTTTCTGTGCAGTTTGGCATTGGTAGGTTTACTTCCCCCACAGAGACGCTGCCACAGCATAACATAGATCCAACTAATCTATGATCAAATTAGTTTCAAACTATTTTTATATTTGATTGTAATTGGCTAGTTGTTGCAGCCTAATCTGTCTTTACCCTTCTCATTACCAGAACAATTGACACACATGATGCCCAGTTATGGCTATAATCAGCCTTTAGTTTTTGTACTTCGGTCTAGTCCAAACAGTGTGCTGTATCAAAGTCCAGTGTTTAGTGAGTCAGCTGGCCAGCGGGTGCTTTGTGTTTCCATGTGTGCGGTCATCATCTTCTGACAAGACGGCTGCTCAGTTCAGTTGCTGCTTATCAGAGGCTGGATTTGTCTAGGCCAACAGAAGATTAGTCACACCCAAGGTGTTATCTGAAGAGCTCTTATGATGGCATCACTTCATAGCACACATACAACCCAGCAACTCTTGTCCAAACCCTTTGTCATGGTTGTCTTTTCAGCAACGGTCTAATCCTTCTGTGTGAGTGTTGATGCAGAGAGCTGCTGAACGCGTCTGCTCGGCCAGCACTGTCAGGACAAGAGAGGGTTTTTAATGCTTCCTCCCCAGATTGGAAGTTCTGGCAGTAGAACATGCCATCCCGGTCCTCCCCTCCTGCCCTGACGGGCCTGTTTTCTGTCAGCCCTGCCTTTGACCCTGCTGTACTTAAGAAGAGAAGTCATGCTACTGGCCAGGTCTCATATCAGATGGTTCTCTGCCATGACCCACCCAGTGCATACCTGACACCAGGCATCCCCGGTCTCTACAATGTTTTTCCAAGCACGCTCAGATCTAGGCTAGGGATTGTCCTAGTTTAGTTTCTGAATGTCTCTACTGAACCACTCTGTGTCACGTCACCTAACAGAGCATGGGCTCTTAACTAGTTTCAACACACACTGTGCCCACCAATCTTTTATTTCATTTTTGAATAGTGTATTTTTATGAAGGAAAAAAACACTAAATGACTATAACAAAGTAAAAGAAGATTTACAAATTACAATTTGTAATGGTTTTGTAAATGGTTTTTGGGATGGTGGCAAAAAATAAATAGTCTGGAGCCAAGTAGACCAGCTGCTATCAAACAACAAAGGGATCTGTATCTGCCAATATGGATCATCAAGGATCAATAATTAGTATCGGTAGCAAAACAACGTGATCAGGGATCTAAAAGTTGGACCACCCCCGTGTTCCGGTTCAGTTCACGCGGTCACTGATTGACGTTAAACCAGAACACCAGCGGATCTGGTTGCAGGTTGTTTTTTTAACTCAAAGTAGAATGAGGCGGCCCAGATACTGATGAGATGATGAGGTCAAAGAGCTTCAGGGAGAGGAGGCTGTTTGTGTAGCACAGCTTGACGCAGGGCTGAGCTGTGAGTGGAGCTGGGCCTGGATAAAGGTGGAGGTCTAAACAGACATGAAGGGAGTGTTTTTATTTCCTTTATTTTCTTTTATGTGTTGTATGACTAAAACCTTTGAAAATGAGATCTGTCTCAATGGATTTTGTCTAAATAAAGGTTAATAATATTGATTGCAAAAAAAAAAGCCAACCGTTCAACTAAAACTGAAATACTGATAAATAACTGAATAATACATTCGTTTTTTGCTGAAAGTAAATGTCTTATCACTTAATTTTCTTCTCAGAGTAAACCAGAATGCTACATTTTAAGCTCATATTTAAAATACAATTCTCCCGGGGAGCATGCCCTCGTCCCCCCGACAGGGTATGGGTTCGGGGGCTTGTCACCTTTTTCACCTATTATGAGTTTGCAGGTATGATATAAAAATTTATCCAAAATCCACATATAAAAAACAATATTCACAAATATTTCTGATGCACTCACAACTCTCATATTGTTTTGTATTCTCATTGAAAACATAATCGGGATGTTGTAACATTTGTATACAAACTGCTGAACCTGCATTTACAGACTGCTTGTCATATGTCATCGTCACTGCATTTGTGTGTCGTTTTTAATATCGTAAATGTGTTCGGCAAAAACATCCGAAAAATGTGGCCGTTCACCAGTCATGACCAGCATCAGCTGGTGCACCTCTACTAAAGACTGAACATGAACCTAGACCACGCTGCCTCTTTATTTCACTGGCTTTTGAGTTGCTTCTACAGTCTGGTGTTGTCTTCTATGTAAAGTGTGTGTGTGTGTGTGTGTGTGTGTTGTGCAGGTATGGAGTAACACCTGAGAACATCATCCTGTACGGTCAGAGTATCGGCACCGTGCCCACCATCGACCTGGCTGCTCGCTATGAATGTGCTGCTGTCATCCTCCACTCACCACTCATGTCGGGGCTCCGGGTGGCCTTCCCCGACACTCGGAAGACTTACTGCTTTGATGCCTTCCCCAGGTGAGTCTCACCATAGCAACGGTTACCTGGGAAACTAGCAGCCATGTTTTAAAATCCAGTTTCCACTGTTTGAAACCAGACTAGTGCCACTCTGCAATGTCGCTATGCAGTCTTCCTTTTCTGGCAATGTTAGTTTCGGCACCTGATTTAGATTTAGCTTTGGTCTTTTGATTTATTATCAATCAAAGTTTAGTCATTTGATTTCCATTCAGTTAGTCTGGTTTCCAACATGCATTTTAGATTTTTCTGTTGCTAAACATTTTGATGCTACAGCCGTCGCCGTCTGTTTTGTAGAGTTACCATGGTTACAGGAGTCGTGATACTGAAGCAGCAGGGTGCTGCGTCATCAAATGGTCTCTTTCCCCCGATGTGCTTGTTGGTTAGTCTTGTTTTCAGTCTCTGATTGAAAGAGCTGACTAATCAACATCATCTTTACTGCACCTGTGTAGAGAATGTAGATTATTTTCTTGCCGCAAAATGATCGGACATATTTTGAACAATTGTTTATCCTGTAGTTTATTCGGATTCTTCCTAAACCACCGCGCTTTAGTCCAACACACAGTGCACTGCTTTATCCAAACTTGTTTCAGAACTGTTCCTATATTCCAATACACCCTTTACATCTGTGTGACAGTGATAACAGAAAGAGACTTTTGTGATCTGTTAAGTTAAATAACTGTACTTTATTCAAACTGCAGGTGTGGGATTTATTTTTTCAGGGGTTGACTTGAACTTATGGAATTTACAGCACACACGCCACAAAGTAATGGCTTTAATATACAGAGGTTTCCATGGACCTGCTGTTCAATTAAATCCATCTCTCTCTCTGCAGATGGTCCGTCTCAGCAGGCAGCGTGCCGTGTCTGCATATTCAGTGTTTTCAAAGTAGAATATTGGCACGGATTGATCATTTTAATCAGTTACATCAGTGAAACCATCTCTAAAATGTATTATATTTAAACAATGGATGTTCAACAATCTAATTTAGCACGTTTTGTCAATGTCACCTGTTTTTTAGGAGAAATGCAGCAATTACCACACATCTGTATGGTTCATACAGTGTGTTGGGAAGGGTTTTAACAGAATTATTCGGGTTGCTTCACGCCAAATTCCGACCGACCTAGCTAGCTTAAGAACAGGCGTTCACCCTCTAGCTAAACTACTACTACTACTTACTGGGAAAGTGGCTGCACGTGTTGACAACAATGCACACTACGTATTGGCTGCTGACGAACGGGTGAACTGTGGATTTGGTTTCCTATTTTGCTCATACACTGCAGCTGGCACTAAATGATGGATTTAACCTGTTTTGTGCATCAGCTGAGCAGCTTGTTAGTTGTGCTTTTCGTTAATGTTGTTGGTTAATGATCGCTTAACGAGGATGGCCTATCTGTCTAAAATAAATGTGTGGAGCGTTGTCTGGTTCTGGCAGTAACAGCAATATTTAAATATCACTAATGCAACAACTATATGGTTTGCTGTCCCTGTTTTTGGTTTATGTTAAAAAGTGGTAGCCCCTGTTGGCAACCAAACGCCAAGAATTGGTTGCCAATTTCTTGAAATAGTTGCCAATGGCAATCTGGCAACCTTACTGCTTATGTAGCTAATGGGATCCATACCAAACGCCTGCATCAGCCATCACTAATGTGGCTGTTGCAGCCCCTAGGCAAAGCTTCTCAGTGACACATTCTTTGCCCTACTTTTTTGAGTGAAAGTATTAGGTCACTCCTATCACTGCTGAAGGTTTGGGAGAGCTCCAGAAGAACCCTAACCTGTTAGAAGTTGCCAGGAGATGTGGTTCAGGAAGAGACAACAGTGAGCCGATTAAAGATTACTTTGGTGACCGACTTCATGCAAGATACAGAAACCAATGTCCTTCAAACTTTACACTTTTTGCAACAATGAAAATGAAGCTGTGCAACTATGATGAATCTGTCGGAACCATCAACTCGGGCAGGAATTGATCAAACATGATATTGAGATTCATCTTCTTGATGTGTAGCATCTAACAGCTCGCCAAAAAGCTGCATAACTTAACTGCAATTTAATGTGGAACTACTCCATCCTTATTTAGCATACTTACTCATCCTAGCCATCTGTCAGCTCATTTTATGTAATCAAACTGACAAGTCAGGTAATGACCGCTGGATGCTTGTGTTTGTCTTGTACCTACAGGTTGAGGAATCTTGCACACACGGCTCCATGTGGCGTCTGTAGGAAACCAACTGCAAAGAATTCAGCACTGTGTTAGCACTGAACTCTTCGTGCAAAACCGAATAGTTCGAAGCTTCATTCATAACCTTGACATTCAAATTCTAAATCAATGCTGTGCTGCACAGCTTTTTTAAAAATGTCTATTCATTCTTTGCACAGGCCTTAACACCAGGGATGTGACCAACAAACAACCCAAAAATGCAAAATACTCGCCTGATAATTTTTCGCATCAAAACTATTCATACCGGGTGCAAATTTTGGACATGCAGATTGTTACTCTTTCAACAAAAGGTTGGAATAGATTTATGCAGACAGTGGACCAACTACCAGGGTCCTGTTGACTCAGAACAGCGTCTGGCACTCAGTCTGAGGTCAACTCTTATTATTAGAATACAGTTACACAGTGTGTCTGTCTAGACCAGGGGTCGGCAACCTTTACTGTCCAAAGAGCCACTTTGCCCTATTTTCCACCAAATACATTTTGTCTGGAGCCGCAAAAGCTATTTGATATCACAGCTTACAGAGTTTTATATATAGTTATATTATATATACAAAAACTATAGTTTGTTGTATTTATGAAATTATACAACAAGAATAAAGACAATTCTTGACATTGTATTGCTATTTTACCTGTTAGAACAATATCAAACTCTTATGAAGAGGAGAGTTTGCTGCAGCAGTTGAGAAATCATCTCCAGCGTGATATTTTTCATGAAATGCTGTGTGCTTGTTCTGGAAGTGTCTTTCAACATTACATTGTTTGCACATATCAAACATACAGGTAAACCAGCATCGTTGGCAGTGAAAGCAAATGAAGACGTCCATGCAGAATTAAACTCTCTATTTTCCTCCGTGACTTTTCTTTCTTTGGATTTATCCATTGGTAGTTTACTGAGGGCGGGGGTCTGCAGATCATGATTAGCCACCTGCAGGGAAAGGCTCCTGACAGCGATGTAATAGGCGTCCACCTCTTCATGTGGACGCTCGTAAACGCATACGTTTAGAAACAATGACGTAGACGCCCACGTTCGCTACTTGATTGGTTCTTAGCAGTCACGACGTGTCCTTCCCTGATTCGTCACGCCCCTATCACGTGAGCCTTTCCCGGAAGATCACAAACAACAACATTGATTACCGATCAGGTTAATTCAACACGGACAACTGATTACAGGCGTTGCTGACCTTGTTGTCTTTACTAGCAGCTGTTGTTCAGGTAAAGTCTGCATTTCTGCAGAGGAAGCAGCTGTTATTGGAGCGATCAGTGAGCGAGGTGTCCAGCGGGGTTATCGGCTCTATGGAGCGGACGTCTGAAGTCACGGTTGGCGGCTTTGAGGAGGACGGACACAAAATGGAGGACTTTCCTTTTCTTATTAATGCTTATTTTGTTCTGCACAACTATTGTGAAGTCCACACACAAACTATAAAGGAACAAAACATGAAATGCTCTTTAGTAGGACAGAGACTTCAGCCACCAGCAGAGCTACGAGTGAGAATGGAAACGAGTGAGACGTGTGTTGATAATCTAGTAAAACATTATGTGCAAGTATTAATATTAAAGTAAATTTGATGTGTGAGAGAGATAAAGACCCACAGCGCTGTAACTAAGTGAAAAATAAAACTTCTAAAACTTTCCACTAAATGTGCGTTTGAGTTTATAGAGTATCAAACACGACCTTTCATTCTTAAAGACTACTTTATTACTCGTAGTCGTATTTTAACTAAGCAACCAATCTACTTCCTGTTTACACTGGCACCCACCCGCATGCCCAGTGTACGTGAATAGTCACGTGATATTCGGTTTCATGCGCTTTAGTCTTTAGTCTGGACGGCGATCATCTCAAACGATGCAGAAACGGCGTGTGGATGGAGATCGTTTTAGTTTTAAAACTCCGCTTTAAAACAAAACGTATTAGTGTGGATTTAGCCTCAGGGAGCTGCAACAGACGGGCTGAAGAGCCGCGGGTTGCCGACCCCTGATCTAGGGCCTTTATTGTGAAAGGAAAGCCTTTGACAAGGTTAAAAGAAGATTTAAAGTTTGCAGTCTTTGTTCAAACTGCACACCGGAGGATTCTTTCTGCCAGAAAGGGTTCATTTCAACCCAAACCACAATCTGTAACGAAACCTAACCCAATAGTTGTGTTGCCTAAAGCTGAGAAGATTTCTGGCAGAAAGCTGAAGTTCTCACGTGCTTTAAGTTGGGACTACGGAGCCTCACTATTGTTGTATACTACAGTATACATTTTGAATATGTCCATTTTGCACAACGTGATTGGTTAATGCCCTCATTTGCGGTGCAAAAGCTCAGAAAAATCAACCTTGTTCCAGAAAAACCAGCCTCTCCATACACATGGAGCAGAGGCTCGGGGAGACGGGTGAAGTGAGGATAATGTTGATGTACCGGTTTGAAACAGTGGTGATGATGTCCTAAGATATGACAGACAGACCTCATTAGAAGCTTTGCATGTAAATAGATGACGTTTGTTATAGCTACAGTACAGCTCTATATATTCTGCACGCACGAGCCACGCTCCTGTTGGGACCAGTAACTGCGGTGTAGGCCACTTCATTAGGACGGTGGTGTCGTAGTAACATGCCACCTCACTGGGTTTGTGATTTGGTGACACGACCATGTTGAAACTTCATGAGTCTGCTTTGTCTCCGTAGTGTGTAGTGTGCAGTGTTGTAAGAATGGACAGCACAATAGGACATGACCTCTCCAGCTGTGGTCTGAGTTGGGTCTAGCGGTCCGCTGTTGACCGGGCTGTGAGAGAACAATAATACTACTAATAACAGTACTACTAGTTATTATTCTTTATAACCCTCATCAAGTTTTGTTCTCGCTTCAGCACCACACATTTCAGCAGGACTGCGTTTCCATTATATGCAAGAACTACTAAGAGCTCAAGTGAATGCAGTGCAAAACAACAGTACCCCCCCCCCCCCTCATGTAGAGAGCAGGTGTTTCTATCATTTGGTCCACCCCATTTTTATCATTGCTGATCAGCTAAATAACAAACACCTCTGTGTATAATGTGAAACCATTCAATCACAACTCACAAACTACATCGTCCAAAATGATCATACTGTTGAATCAACGTCTGTCTAAAACTGCTTCAAGTTTAATGAAGGTAGGATTTTAGCTGAGTATTAAAAAGAAAACCTGGTCTGAAGGATTTATAAGTTTATATTGGCGAGTACCATTTCCAAATCACAAGTGCAGTCATTTAAATAATTGACATAATTAACGGTGGAAGAGCTGAAAGTTGTGGGTGTCAGACAAGCCTACGGTCACCGATTCCCTCACTAGAGCTCATCTTTCCGACACGGAAAGGCCAAGGATGCTTAGTTTGAAGGAGACCCCCCCTCTGTGTAAGTTACCATCACATGGACCTAAAGGGCAGAGCTGTGTCAGCCTTCTATCAAATATTGTCGGACATGACTGATTCGATTTAGGTTCAATTTGATATGTGTCTGTAGTAATATTTAATAATGTCAAGTAAACCATTGGCTAAGTTGGTCTTACAGGTTTATAAGTTCTCTTTTCTCTGAGAAACAGAACTCTTCCAAAAGCAGCTGCATTCCATCAGATTCCACTGATGTAGGAACAAGATGAATTTGTGCTTGGTTCATGTTGACAACTATGACCGGCACAAATACAGGTCTGTAGATAATGGCAAGTTTAAGTTCTAGTCGCAGTATTGGTAGAAAAACTGCAATTGGATATTTTCCTCCAAATGATGCGGCTCTACCAAGGAACAAATGCTCCCCAAAACTTAAGTCTACTGCCACACCAACAATGGACATGGATGCACAGAGAAATCTGTCCTCAAATACAGTTTCAACTAAAACACTACCAGCTGGGTATTGGGTCTAGTCCTGGGTAAGGCTGGGGTCATCTGTCTTAAATGAAACAGCTCTTTTTTCAGTTATTACCCTCAACTAGTGTTGGTGGTGGCACTTTTACCATTGCATGTTTTGCATTCTGCAGTTCTTTTATCAGTGTTTCTAATTGTGTGTCTGAGTGGGGAGATAGAATCTGTGGTGTCAAAGCTTCCCAGCTGGATCTCTATAGAAAGCAGCAGGAGCGCACTGTCGGCATAAAGCAGCCGTTCTCCAATCAAGCGAGATGCTGAGGTTTGGCCCACTTTTAGATTTCAGTATGTCACACACCAGTGCTGCAGTTGTTCAAGTTGTTTTTCAAGGTTGACACAAATATCTTTGAATTGGCACTTCTCACAAGTTCTACTTAGATTTGTTATTTTATTTCTTTATCTTTGGCTGTGGATGAATATGCAGGACGTCCTGTGCTCCAAGCCTGGGAACAGGCATGCTTCAAGACTAAGTGATTGGTCCATACGTAGAGCACACCTTCCCCTCCATAAAGAAGTCTGCATGTGTCTATATGAATGCTTGATGTCACTCTGTCATGAGAGGTCTGTACACTGTGAGATCGGATCTTGCTCTCACTGGGATCTGATCAGACTACATGCTGAGGTGGCCTGGCTTATATTGACTTATAGTGAGTGGTCTCAGTGAGTGTGGACAGCATGTGGACTCAATCCAGACAGTTTCTCTCTAGGTACCTCACGATTCCATTCCGATGCTCCATATTCCTCCACTATGAGGTTCACGAGACACACCAGGAACACATTCATGTTGATACGCCATGAAAGGAATACTTCACCCCTAAAATGACCATCTTACTCATCTTGTCACCTTAAATTGTTGAAGAAATCTTTGTTTTTCTCATGTTTCCATGTTGAATAGTGACTCGAGAAACAAAAGTCTTCATGAATTGAATTAAATGGGGCAACACAACAAGAAAACATCTGTTTACAAAGTGACAACTCGTGTAGTATAATCTCATAAGTGTCATTTATCCACTCGTATGCTCACTACTACAAACGCATGCATTTTTGGCAAAATTGTACGAGTTAACACACTTGAGATGAGTTGCATGCATGTGTTGTCATGAAACCGTGTGGCGGAAGTGTTTCAGAATAGTGCGTTGTGTAGTTTGTGAAACAGTGAGCATACGACAGGATACATGAGACCTGGGTCATACTGAGCAGTGAGAGCTTCTAAACCAATGGGTTCATTTAGTCTTCAAATCAAGGATTTACTCCGTTTTGGGCTGTTTCCAGATTCTTTGCTCGCTGAGGAGGCAAGAAAAAATGTTTTCTTCAAGGTAACACGCTGCGAGTGATGGATGTACAAAGGGTCCTATTAAGAGTGAAGGATGGCTCAAAGAAAATACAAACCCTAATAGTATCTGCAAATTAAATGTTTGTCCGTCACAGGCATCATTTGCTCCTGTGTAAGAGTATCTGTATAGCTGGGAGCTCACATTCATAGAAATATTGGGAGAGATTATGTGCATGTGGGACAGACACATCTGTACACCCCAGCTGTGAAGTGAAATGAGCTCACAATGATTTCCCTGCGTTAATCCTCCAACTAGCCTCTATGTTAACAGCAATGGAGGCTGAGCTGCCACGCCTAGTTATGACCAAGGAGGATTAGTACGGGATGTCTCTGCTCAGCAGCGACTGTAGCTTTAACAAGACCCAGCTGATCATTTATGTATTCAATGTGTGTTTCCAGACGGATACATTAACACATCCATGTTGTTGTGTTAGACAGTTTTCCACTTCTCAGCTTTTCTATACATTTAAAAGTTTAGACTAAAACCAAACGTGACATAAGAGGCCACCATGTCACAGTAAATGATCAGAGAACAGCTTGAATGAAAGATGATAAAACTAACATTGAACCTTCTGTTTGCCTGGAGCATCCTATGCACTTAGCTGGAGTACAGTCAAGTGTTCGGACCACTTCACCGTAGCTATATAGCAGTCTGACTAGTTTCTAGACTCCCTTCCACCCTGAGCGTGACATTTGAAAATGGGGAATTTGTCACCGCTTCATGATACCCGTCTTCATACTTACCCTCATCTCTCTCTGTCTCTTTTCGCTGCATAGCATTGACAAGGTGTCCAAGGTGGCGTCCCCAGTGCTGGTGATCCACGGTACGGAAGACGAGGTCATCGACTTCTCCCATGGCCTGGCCATGTATGAGCGCTGCCCCCGTGCCGTCGAGCCACTGTGGGTGGAGGGAGCCGGCCACAACGACATTGAACTGTACGCCCAGTACCTGGAGAGACTCAAGCAGTTCATCTCCTTTGAGCTTCCCACCTCCTGAGGGCAGGGCAGCACTCGGGCCTGGGTTCATCTCAACACACTCATCTCCCACCTTCTTCTCTTAGCATAGGGCATGACTGGAGTCAGCTGATCACACTGCTCTCCTCTGACCGTGGAGCCATTTCAGGGTAGGAATGTGTAGTGGACTGGAAGAGGAGGGGGTTTTACATTGTTGAGGTCCAGGCGAGAGTCGGTGGCCAGTACCGGCCGGGAGTGAAGCTTTGGCTCAACATATACTGTCCCAAAAGCTGGCTGGTGCTCCTACATGTGGACACACTGAGGCACCAAGGCAGTGTCTGCACTCTCTGCTCACTCTGAATTCATCCTGAACTCTCCTTCCCTTCCTCTACTCACTCTGTCTGTCTGAGCGTTCCTCTCATCCTTGCTTTTCTTTTGACTAAGTCTTTGCCGTGTTAAACTTGATTTTTCTATTCTTTTATACCAGGTGAAGAAGTATCAATTTTGCACCTCGAAATACAATTGAAGTTTTTTACTTTTCTGTATTTTTAAGTTACTGTTCAGTGTTTACCAAACAATTGCACTTTGATTGTGCAGATATTTCCAGGTAATGATTTTGTCAGTTTGGAACATGAATATGTTGATTGTTATCTTTGTTTTGTTATCTGCATTCCATGTTTTTAATGCAGGTAGAACTTGTTTCAGTCGGTGTGTTTTTAGAAGCTGTTAACCAGAGTGCACAGCTGCACATCTGGCCTTTGTAGTTCGATCTTTGGAGTCCTGACGCATGCTTCTCTCTCATACAGGAAGACAATAATGCCAAGAAATCTAGCAATTTATACTATGCCTTGCTCATTGGCACACATACAAATCATTATTCAAGTCCTTGAATTCTTTAGAGCCACTGGTAATTTGAGCAGTCAGCACTTGTGTGTCAATACAATGATTAACACCACCAAAGGCTGCAGTCAAACCTCTAGTGTTGATGGAATCCATTGTGATCGCTGCATCATGTGAACTGTAATGCTGAATAGAAACAAAGGACCAACGATCTGTAGAGCTCCTCAGCAGGTCAGTGACGTAATGGGACATGTTGCTGAGGATAAACACCTCGCCATTTCAGCACCTGGTGAAGCCATCGATGACAAAGTAATATTGCAGTCTAATTAGCATGTTCATTTTGTTTATGCATCACAATTCTCACTCTTTGTACCAGGTGCGTACCGTTGCCATGCGATCCAGAAGCTTCCGTCAGTAGTAGAGAGAGCAGCAGGTATTAGGGCTGTGCTTAGGAAACTGGAGATCATGTGGTCAGACAGACCGCTGAACTCCACAGTGTTTCTGTCATTTCACACTACAAATAAAGCCTTATGTTCGTAAACATTTCACCCAGTCCTGTTGACGACAGCAGGTCTTGGTGGTCTTCAGGGGACTGACAACCGCTGCTATTCATCCGATACATCAGTCAATCACTGTGAACGCCAGACCGGTCGGGAACTCTAAGTGACCCTGACCGCTGTCCTCCCCTTTAGTCAGCCGTAGGAGCCGATCCTCAACACTACGTCTGAGCCCTGTGACTGTTCGCTGTTGTCCAAAGACATCTGAAAGAACCACGACGGGGAAGTAAGCAACGCATGCAAATCACCTCATAGTTGTGAACATTTCAACTTGTATCAACTGTGTTTGAATCATTTGTTCTTTTAACCCTTGCAAAGTAAAACATTCACATTGGTGACACAAAACATTCACCGCTCCCATTTGAAGTGAGTGCTGAGCGTCTCAGGAGCGTTGTGTCTGAGGGATATCTGCGATTAGTGATGATCGGATGATCGATCCGTGTATTGCTGTGAAGTGGTTTGTCAGTTAAGTATTTAGTGTGTTCTGATCCTAGCTAATGTTGGGCCGACGTTTTTGGATACGGAGCCCTCGGTCATCTCTAGCATATTGCATCTAGCTCCTCTTTTAAAGGAAATGAAGATCCTGCTTTAGTGCTGATTATTGTTTTGATACTGACATTTTTTACGAGGTTTTCCAGTCTAAATGTTGATAGATTTACACTCTGAAGCTGGTTTGTACGATAATCCTCTGTTCTGGTATACTTCAATATCTTCTCTATACATATTAGCCCTCACACAGGGCGGTCTAGTCTCATTGCTTTAACACTGGAATCCCAATATGCAAATGAAAGGCAGATGAAGCCAGTAGAATCCGATTTTGGTAATGTGTAAAACAGATTATGTAAGCCTTAAACATGCCGTCAACTGATTGTCATAATTGTGGTAGTTGCAAGAAGGCAGCAAAATGGATGTTTTAATGCTTATAATGGAATAAAGGATGCATGGAAGTGTGTGTCCGACCTGATTGTTTCTGTTAGAAAGAGTTCTTATGTTAGAGGGTGGCTTCACCTAAACTGATTAAATATTCTCTCCCTGTAGTGGACTGTACTTGTATCGTGCTCTTCCTGTGTTCCAACCACTCAAACAAGTAATGGTACTCAGACTATTGATATTGTGAATGAATACTAATTATGAGACTTAGTTTTCTAGTTTGGTTATTGGTCCCTGTTCGTAGGGTGGTGCGCCATTATTATTAATAATCGTTCATAATCTTACTGACATTAATAATTCTATTGATGTCAATAATTTAGTTTTCTTATATGCTGATAACTCACACACTCCTTTTCCTTCCCAACAACATCAAAACCAAAACTTGTTACAAATGTCCCGGTCCCCACACAATACAGCATTAACTCCCACGTACTGCAGGCAGTGAAGAGGTGTCATGTTCATGTAACAAAGCCGGCGGTGCTGCGCTGCAGAGGAACGGTTTCCCTCATCCCACCTTCTGTCATTAGGTAAGTGGACTGAGCACTCACACGTCTCCAACGTTGATGCAGCCTGTGAGCCCACAATCCAAGCTAGACACATTAGCCAGGCAACATGCTAATATTAAGTTAAACAGGCTAACCTGAAAATGAAATAGTAAAACATCATTAAAAAAAATGGGTCGCAGTCGGTCGGTACCGATCCATCCGGAGCTTCAGTTTCAAGTGAATCCTGCTGACAGACCCTCGCTGAGAGTTTTACAGTTGTGTTGGGGATATTTCAGTGGATCCAAGTAGAGGATTTCAATGACATATGTTTATCATAGCAATATTTCATTTTTAAATCATTTAAAAAAAATATTCAAATTGTGTGTGTGTGTGTGTGTGTGTGTGTGTGTGTGTACACAACACATTAACAAACTAAGGCTGAGGAAATGAAGAGGTTTCAGGCTTCAATGAACACAGACTGCAGCTTCTCTGAACAGTCATGTCGTTCACTAATATTTTGACTTTCTTGTTTTCTATTCCATATGTTTTATTGTTCTCTAATTGCATCCGTTTGTTTTTTCACTGCTTCTCTTATAACATATTCCATATTCCTCCTCATGTCTTTGCTGTTTAGAAGCAAACAATCCGTCCTGATCCTGACATTTGCTCCTTCGTGTGTTCCATAATTTCAGTCATTGCTGAAAGTGTCCAGGTGCCTGTGTAGACTGACAGACCCTCACTGGAGCTCAGATGCTTAATTTAAACTTCATTTTCAGCCCAATTAATCTCTATGGTAGTCTGTCTGCCAAGATGAAATGATTTAATTCCATTAAAATTTCTTTCATACTTTTGTATGTGTGTGTACATGGTGTATGATTAAATTAAAACATGATTGTCAACATTTATTTTCATAAATGATTTATATAACTGAAATCACTAATTTGTCTCAAGGGTATTGACAGTCAGGGAACAGGATGCACGACATCTACCCAGAACAACAGTACCATGAAGTACCATGGAGTGTCAGCTTCAACACAGGGCCTGTGGTAAACCAGCATGGATTTGATGGACGTTTCTTCTTGGCTGATGAGTGAGTCATGTGTGTGGGCGATGGTGACTAAGTGGAGAGCAGGGCCGTCTTTCAATCGGAGGATAAATGAATGTGAACAAGAGTCTGCCCTGCTACACAGCCAGGCTGCAGAGGTGCAGCGTGAGCTGTGGCTTTATTCAGATAACAAAGGTGTCTCTTCCTTGGCTTCCCTCCAGCTGGTGGCATCCTGGTAGACTGCCTACATCATGTTTGCCTGGACTGCTACGGTCCAAGGCCGAGCAGAACGCAGTCTGAGAAAATGTTGCCCCCCCCCCCCCCCCCCTTAACCCAGTCTGATTCGTCAAGAATCAACCTGGGCTCGAAGCCAGTGTTTGAACATCAAAACTTTTTTTTTCAGTCTCTCTTCCACTTATCTCACACACACACACACACACACACACACACACACACACGATGATAAATATAGTGTTCACAAACTTTTTAAAAATCCTAACAGGACAAAAGCTTTACAACCTGACTAATTAAAAGTTCCCTCTTAGCTACTTAGTCCATTTCAAAATGATTATTGTTGATTGATCATTTTCACCGATAATGGAAGCATCATTAAATTCATCCCTCAAACAGGTTGGTATTGTATTTATGCTCTAGGGAACATTACATTTTCCAGATAAGACACAATCAGTTTTGATGTGGGGAGACAGATTGATGATTGTTAATAGTTGTACAAACTGATCAGAGAACAGAAAGAAAAGCTCTGCAGCATCTGCTTTGTTTCTTAGGAGTGAAAGTTCTAAATGAAACGGGGGGCTTAGAGGTTTGCCAAAAGCGTGTACTTATTTGAACCCAAACCATGATCTTCTACTAATCCTAACCAAGTAGTTTTGGCGCTTGAACCTTAAAGTAATAGTGCCACGAACGGTTAAAACAATACAGCATAGTTTTGGTTCAGAAATGTGGAGATACGACGTATGTTTGGTTTGCAAAAATGTACAATGCCAACATTAAATTCTCGGGGTGTAGGATGAACACTTAGAAGATATTCTCTTTTCGATGAATGAATGCCATAGCATATGATACACATCATTTTCATACTCATCAACCCATCCACTGAGCCCTTGTGACTTCATCACCTTTTGTGGCATCATCTTCAGTCTGACATTGCTTCCATGTTGTGAGGGAGGGGGATTTCATTTCCCCTAACTAGTCACTAGAGAACAATGCATCCGAGTCTAATGTCATTTTAAGTCGACACTGCCAACATATTGGTTTTGGTCGGGGTCTTACGAGTGGAGCGGAGCCAAAGTAAAAACGAATCTTGTCTATAGCAGTCACAATTGTCGTTATTAGTCCTCCTTGGTTCTGGCACACAGCTCGACAACAGCTTGACAACAATCATTAGATCAATTGCTTTTTCAACCGAAAAACCGCTGTTTAGTGTCATGATGGCAGAAGAATCAGTCAACTCAATGGAGCGGGCCGATTCAAAAGTCTGGACCCAGACAAAGTAACCTCCTCTCATATGCTACTGAGGCCCTAGATACGTTGTTTTTTCAACAAGTGTTCTAACTACTTCACCTGTATGGAGCAGGATAACCATTTAAAAAAGGAAGAACAACGTATGTCACAGTATTAGACTTTATTCATAGATTTCATACATAAAATGTAACACAAAGGGCTTCACACATTGTCATAGTATAGTGTGATATGTCATAGTATAGTGTTATATACTAACACTATGCTACACTAGACTGTGGCTGGGTAGAGAGGGTCGTCTGGCAACCGCAAGGTCGGCGGTTCAATCCTAGGCTGCTACGAGTCCTGTGCCGAAGTGTCCCTGAGCAAAACACTAAACCTCTAACTTTTCCCCGAGCGCTTCTCAGTATACTAATTTCCCCTTGCGGGATGAATAAAGTATAATAAATAAAAATTTAAAATAAATAAAAAAAGAATGTGATGTTATAATATAGTGTGAAATGCCATGGTGTAGTGTGATATGTCATGGTGTAGTGTGATATGTCATAGTATAGTGTGAAATGCCATGGTGTAGTGTGATATGTCATGGTGTAGTGTGAAATGCCATGGTGTAGTGTGATATGTCATAGTATAGTGTGAAATGCCATGGTGTAGTGTGATATGCCATGGTGTAGTGTGATATGCCATGGTGTAGTGTGATATGTCATGGTGTAGTGCGATAGATTTTTGATTTGCAGCCAAAAATTCTAGTTTCATAAGCAAAACTAGGAAATAATTTACTCTGTTGATATATTTTCACTTACAAACTTGATTTTTGATTGCAGTGCGAGAAATTTGCTCTCAAAACATTTTTTTTGTTTGCGTAATAAAGACACAAATATACCTTCATAGTTCAACTGTAGTAGGACAGCGCTGAAGGCCCAGGTATAAAATGCATGGCCCGCCACTGTACTACAGTGTGATGTCATAGTATAGTGTGATATGTTCTTTTCTATTACATGAAATCTTTTCTATTCTACTGTTCTATGAAAAGTCAAAGTATAGTAGGCTACAGTGTCTTCTCCACATGATTGACCGGTCATGGAAAACACCTGAATCCTATCCTCACAGGTTCCTCCAGTAACGACACCCCTCCCTTACCCCATCCTCACAGGTTCTTTTAGCTACGACGCCCCTCCCTTACTCCATCCTCACAGGTTCTTTTAGCTACGACGCCCCTCCCTTACCCCATCCTCACAGGTTGTTTTAGCTACGACGCCCCTCCCTTACCCCATCCTCACAGGTTGTTTTAGCTACGACGCCCCTCCCTTACCCCATCCTCACAGGTTCTTTTAGCTACGACGCCCCTCCCTTACCCCATCCTCACAGGTTCTTTTAGCTACGATGCCCCTCCCTTGTGTCTCTCAGCAGCCTTAACTTATCTTTAGGTTAAGTATCTTTATTTTGGAGGATTTGTTGATACTCTCTTGACTGATTGCAGAAGAACTTGTCCATTTTTAGAAAAACAACAATGGTTCACTATTTTCCTACCTGACAGTGTGGATGATCATTTGAAAACAGCCCCTATGGTTGTGAAGATTTACAAATAATCATTTAACAGCTGACTGAATAAATCTGAAAAATCCAACTGATTAAACAATTGATAAAAAACAGTTTAGAGACTTATTTTCTTTATTCTTATTTGTTGACATTGTATGTATTTTCTCTGTATTTCGACATTCCGCGTTTACTTTAGTCAGTATTTTTATTTTACCTCGATATTTTTCTGAAATCCAAGCTAGGTAGATTTTCAAGGAATCAACCCCCCACCACGCACACACGCACACACACACACACACACACACACACACACACACAGTAGGCGTGTCTTTCCTCCAGCTAGAGTAACTGGAGGCGGCGCTGCAGCGTGCGCCTTGGACCGGGAATGGCCGTGTCTCTGCGCTCCGACACCGGCCGACACATTAACAGCGCTCCGCTCCATCACTGCACTCCTCCGCGAGGCGCGTCTCACAGTCTCCGGGACTAGACACGGATTACATGCTACAGGTCGGTAGGTAGACTCTTGAAAACATTTTCAGGGGCATGGGTATGCTGGGCTGTGTGTGATGGTCTTGTGGTGTATACAGAGCGGATACTCCGGGGCGTAATGTGGCCGCTCTGAGCCACAGGTGTGCTGGACAGGATCCGTGTCGGTAAAAGCGGTTTCTGCACGGGTA